AAGATGTGAAACTTGTTTCAAGCTGCTTGGGGCTAACCAAAGTGAACTAAGGGCAGTTGTTTCAGGTTTTCAGTGACCACGTTACTGAAGTATAGAGGCAGATTTTAATTATTTTTTGTTTTAGCAACATGCCACCCCATTCATTTATTGCAATGGATGATTACAACTCTCCCAAAGAAATGGCTGAGCATTTGAAACAACTCGAATCGGATAAGTATGTGTTTCCGTTGGTTTGAGTTCTTGTTTGATACTACTCAAACTATCAATCTTATATACATCCACATCAACATGCAAGCATGGTAAATTCCTTTTATAATGGGTAAACTTTTCGTTTATAATCGATTACGATACAAATCGAGAAAACTATGATGACATGAACAGCTTAAACAATTTGCACAGTGTTATAGCTAGATTAGTTAGATTCAATATGAAAAAAAGAGTTAATATGCGGAATGACAAGTATCATTTTCCTTCTTGCCGATGTCGGTCTTCACCTCTTTCGTAACGTTTTCAATTCGCTGAAAATTTCAGGAAAGCATACGCCGAGTATTTTGCGTGGAGGAAGGGTATGTGGACCGCAGCACCATGGAATGCTCCGGGATATAGGAATGGATTTTGTCGTCTTTGTGAAAGACTGTGGGAAGAGGAACCCCAGCAAAATGTGGTGAGTGAATCGAACATGTCGTAAACGACATGAACCATACCCGGACAGCCTTTAATATCGCCTAAATTTTAGATCGAAGATGTTTGGGCTTGGTTTGATAGGGAATCACAGTGTGAGCGAGATGAGTTTGTGAAAACCTGGATTGAGAAGCCATAAAGCAACAATATACTACTTGCTACGAGTACCCATGTATCGTGCTTATTTGCACAATCTTTTTGCTTTATTATATCAGAGTTTATTTTGATCACTTTCATAGTTTGCAGTCATATCGCACCCTTTCAAGTATATCCCCACTAGCTGTTTTACATTAGAATTTATTTCATCTTTGCCTATCGATACATCAAATATCATTTTCAAATTTTTCATCTCGTTAAATGCTCATTTAATAGGCTTTCTTTATAATGGGTTATGCCGTGTAACGTCTAATCTCTGCTTATTCTCATTGATGCTACTTAAGGCGCCATATAACGATTACTTACATTTGTTCATTTTCAGCTTCTTTTTTTCTATTGTGTTTGTGCTAATCCCGTGTTTCCGTGTTATCGAATTCTTCTTGTGTTGTGTCTGTCGGGTATTTTTGTTATCTTTTGACATAGTAATATATGAACTATTGAATGAAATTTATTGAATAATAATAGATTTCGAGATCAAGGGTACACTCCTTTTGATTAATTTGGCTACATAAACAGTAAATTTATGAGGTATAAGAGATATAAGATTAAGTAAGCTATCTCATTGCTAGTAATTTACATCTACACAATATCTATAGAGCCGATGGTTATGTACAATGTAACAACTAGGTTACGCAATAATCTTTTTATTACAATTTCATACTTTATTTTGCATGTATACAATGTATTGGATGAGCTTCAACTTATGATTTTAGGAGTTGCAAGTTTGTAAAACTACTCGTTCAGTAGCAATTTTTCATTGAACTCATACAGTAAGGCCTAAGTAAATCTACACTGTATCAGAACAAAGATGATCCCGATCGTAGTGCGGCTTATGCAGCGGAGGAGCGGGGAGGGGGTTATCATCCTTGCTCTTTGAGGAGTCGTGGAATAGTTCAAAATTATCAATGGGAAACTGTTTATTCTTACTCATAAGTGTTTGAGATTTTTTGATATCAAAAAATGTTCAAATTCAAAGAAAGGTTTCCTACTGGTTTCTTTTTGAATATCAGCTTCAGTGTCAAGCGCTCTTTCGAGCCCTTTCCAAGAGAATTTTCTGCAATCGTCACTGGCATAAAAAATTCTGTATCCAGCCGTGAATGCAGGAGAGAAATATAGTCTAAGGCTTTATAGTTAGCAGCCAACTTTTTCAATCTTTCAAGTTCAAATATTCTATATGAGAACAACTCACAGCTTTTTTTTCACAGTCAAGGACTGAGTTCTGTGAATTTTTCGTGAACACTACTTCGATTAGCCTATACATATTTGTTTCAATCATTATAATTCAATGGGACTGACTTTGACTATCACATGCAGATCTAATCCCACTAGTAGCTGTTTAACGAACTATCAGTTAACTACAGCTGAGGGGGAGGAGCAGGATGGATCTACTGCCATAGATGCAGATGATAAAATGAGCGTTGTAAAAAGAAAAGGGGTAGAACATGTCATGGTGCTATTTTCTATGTCTATGTGATTCGTTAACGATGGGATGCGCTCTAATAATTCATCTTTAGTTTTTCTATGATTTTCCTATGTTTTACTGGAAAATTTTCAAACTCTTGGTAATCCTCCCGTTGCATGCGCAGTAGAAGGCTGCATCCATATATCACTATCATCTCGTTCTCGTACTATCGTGTCTGTTGATTGCAACTGACCGAGACGATCCAAGAATGATGACGGCGTATTATTTATGTCCGGAACGCCGTGACCACCTAAACATTTACTGGAGATAAATACATTATATACCTCACACCAGCTTTGAAAAAGTGAGTAGAAAATGGGGAATAGTGTGTGATCGTTGACCCAATAAATAGAGGAATATGCTATTGCTATTAGTTTATTTGGAAAAGGACAGAAATCAAACCTCGAAGTATGAATGGAAATGGTGTTGCTGTAGAGAATGTAACTTTCTTCTTTCGTTCGCGTACACATAATATAAGAGTTATTGAGATGAGAACTACGAATAAAGCCGAAGAAATGGTAGCCAGAAGCAGCTGCCACAGAGGTAGTCGAAAAAGTAGCGAGGAACCCTGAAACGTTCAGAAATTTGGAGTCTTGATTTTTCTTGTTTTGAGTGATTATTGCACAATGGACATCCAGTACATTA